GGGCCAGCAGCAGCAGCGTCGGAGCGAGACTCAGACGCCCCAGCAGCTCCGTGAGTGGTTGATTCAGCGTGGGGCAGGTGAGGGTAGTGAGACTTGCCCGTATGTCATTCGCACGGGTGTCCGTGCGGGCAGGACATGCTTGAGGTTTCACACTGAGCGCCGCTGCTTTGCCCGCCTTGACGACGCCTGGCGCACTGAGTTTGGTGATGACGTCGAGCTCCCTCGCTGGGCGGAGTTGCTTAGGTCGGGAATTGCTATCTTTGACCTAGACTTTGATGTTATTATCTCTGCCATGTATGCTTTGTCTTTTAGTGCTGAGGGTGACTGTTACTGGTGTGTGCCGCCTGACCCAGGTATAGCCGCTGCTGCTCTAGGTGCTAGTGCGTCTGGCACTCCCCCTGGTATTGCGCCTGCTGAGGCCCTGCACACCTTCACGTTGGACTCCGGCGCCTCGCGCTGTTTCTTTCGTGACAGCACCACTCTCACTCCTCTTCCTGCACCTGTTCCGCTCAGACTGGCTGACCCCTCTGGGGGCCCGATCGTTGCCAGTTCCTCCACTGTCCTCCCGTGTCCGGCGGTTCCGTCGGGCTCAATGTCAGGTCTTCACCTCCCCTCGTTCTCTACGAACTTGGTGAGTACCGCTGCCCTTCAGGATGTGATGGTCACTACCACCACTCCTGGGGGTCAGCGTGTGTCGATCTGCACGTGCACACAGACAAGGCGTCACCTGGCTACGTTCACTCGTCGGCCAGGGTCCAGTTTGTACACACTGGCTACTGAGCCTCCTCAGGTCGCTGCGTCTGCTCAGGTGTCCGCGTCAGGTCAGGTAGCCGCCTCTTGCTCGTGTTGCCTCCTGTCGCACCAGACTCTTCTTTGGCACCACCGCCTGGGTCACCCCTCCCTGCCACGCCTTTGTGGCACGCACTCCCATCTCCTTGTCTCTGGTCTCCCCAGGTCTCTGCCTCCACTGCCGCACTCTCCTGCCCCGCCCTGTCTTCCTTGCGTCCAGGGGCGGCAGCGCGCCGCTCCTCACTCCTCCTCGTTTCCCCCGACGACTGCTCCCCTGCAGACCATCCACATGGACGTGTGGGGCCCAGCCCGCGTCAGTGGACAGGGCCGCGACCGCTACTTTCTGCTGGTAGTTGACGACTACACGCGGTACACCACAGTCTTCCCCTTGCGCAGCAAGGGTGAAGTCTCTGCTGTCTTGATCCCTTGGATCCGCACAGTCCGTCTCCAGCTGCGCGAGCGGTTCGGCCAGGACCTTCCTGTCCTGCGTCTGCACTCTGACAGAGGTGGTGAGTTCTCCTTCGACCTCTTGCGGGACTTTTGTCGTGGGGAGGGCATTCTCCAGTCGTTCACGCTTCCGGACTCCCCTCAGCAAAATGGGATTGCTGAGCGCCGCACTGGCTTAGTCATGGAGGACGCTCGTACCTCCATGATCCATGCGGCCGCTCCCCATTTTCTGTGGCCGTTTGCGGTCTGGTACGCTGCGCATCAGCTCAACCTTTGGCCCCGTGTCTCCTTGCCATAGACCTCGCCCACACTGCGTTGGACGGGGAAGGTTGGCGATGCGTCGGTGTTCCGGGTCTGGGGTTCTCGTGCCTTTGTTCGCGATACGTCCGCGGACAAGCTCTCCGCCCGCGCCATTCCCTGCGTCTTCCTTGGCTTTGTCCCTGACGCGCCTGGCTTACAGTTTTACCACCCCACCTCACGCCGTGTCCTCCCTTCTCAGGACGTCACGTTCGACGAGTCGGTTCCCTTCTACCGTCTCTTCCCCTACCACTCTGCCCTTTCCCCGCCCCCGCCGCTCTTCCTTGCTCCCGGTCCACCTCCGGTAGACCCCCTCCCGCCCCAAGGTCCTGCTCCCTCGGGAGTGTCTCAGGTAGACCCTCTCCCTGGTACTGCGCCTGTTCAGGTAGTTGTCGTCTCAGGTGCTGCTCCAGGTGCTGCGTCTGGGGGTGCTGCGTCTGGGGGTGTGGAGCCGGGGGGTGCGGGGTCTGAGGGTGCTGGGTCTGGGGGTGCTGAGCCTGAGGGTGTTGAGCCTGGGGGTGCTGAGTCGGAGGGTGCGGAGCCTGGGGGTGCTGAGTCGGAGGGTGCGGAGTCTGGGGGTGCTGAGCCTCAGGGTGTTGCTTCGTCTGGATGTCCTGCTGGTGCTTCACCACGACTGTCCTCGCAGCAGCTGCGTGAGTGGCTTGTTCAGCGACCACACCGTCGGAGTGGAGCTCCTGTGGCTGGCGAGCCTGGAGATGCTGGAGCTGGAGGTGCTGCTGTTACTACTGGAGCTGGAGACCCTACGGAGCCTGGAGCAGCTGGCGCCGGAGGCGCTGGAGCTGGTGTAGCTGGAGTTGGAGGCCCTAGCGCAGGAGGCGCTGGAGCTGCAGGAGCTGGAGGTGTTGACCCTGGAGCTGGAGGTGCTGGAGGCACTGTGCGGCCGTGCCCGTACTTCGTTCCCCTGCTTTAGCAGGTTCTTGGTGTCCCGTCTTCTACTGGTCTTCCTCCTCCCTTCCTGTGTCCACCGCCTGACCAGTCGCAGCCGCCGTTACAGCCAGCCTCCCCACTGCCTGTTCCCTCTCCTTACACTGAGCAGTCTAGAGGTCTTAAAGAGCGTCGTGAGCCTGCGTCTCGTCCTGTCTCGCCTGTTCGCACTGCTCGTCGCGCTCCTCGTTCGCATCCTCCTCCTGTCCCGGGCACGCACACTATGGCACTCCGTCCTTCCTCTGTTCCACTGCGTGTTCCTCTGCCTGCTCCTCCTGAGTCCTCTCTTCCTGAGGCCCCTGACCCTGAGTCTGACCGAGCGCGTGCTGCCAGTCCCACTGTCGCTCGTCTCCTTGCCACTGCTGTCACTGACCCTTCCTTTGAGTCTGCTGCTGCTTCTGCTCTCGTTGCTGAGCTGCTTGACTTTGCTGCTGCCTGCCGTCTCGACTACGCCTCTGCTCTAGTTACTGAGTCTGTGCCTGCCAGTCCTCCGTCCGTCGGGGGTGAGTGTGCTCTTGACACGGACGATTTGAGGACAGGCAGGAGGACTTTGAGTGTCTTGCAGCTACTGTACCTCGTTTTTCTTCCTTGCTGCTTGCCCTTGAGGGAGACCCGGATGCTCCAGACATCCCGACCCCGCGTTCTTACGCAGAGGCAATTACGGGTCCTTACTCCTCTCAGTGGCAGGCAGCTATGGATGCCGAGATGGAATCCTGGAAGTCCACAGGCACTTAGGTCGACGAGGTTCCCCCACCTGGGGTGAACATAGTCGATGGCATGTGGATCTTCAGGGTGAAGCGGCCGTCGGGTTCTCCGCCTGCCTTCAAGGCGCGTTACGTTGCTCGAGGTTTCAGTCAGCGACAGGGAGTTGACTACTTCCAGACCTTCTCCCCCACCCCGAAGATGACTACTCTTCGGGTGATGCTGCACGTAGCTGCTCAGCGTGACTACGAGTTACACTCCCTGGACTTCAGTAGAGCCTTCCTATAGGGCAGCCTGCACGAGGAGATCTGGCTGTGTCGACCACCTGGTTTCACTGGGTCGTTTCCTACAGGTACCCAGTGGAGCCTCCGCCGGCCAGTCTACGGTCTCCGCCAGGCGCCTCGCAAGTGGCACGACACACTCAGGACTACACTTGCGGCTCTTGGGTTTGTTCCTTCTACAGCAGACCCGTCGCTGTTTCTACGCACCGACACCTCGCTGCCGCCCTTTTACGTCCTCCTCTACGTCGACAACCTCGTCTTTGCCACTGCTGACACCGAGGCACTGACCCTTGTAAAGTCGGAGCTGCAGAAGAGACACACCTGCACTAACCTGGGTGAACTGCGCAGCTATCTTGGCTTGCAGATCGCCCGGGACAGAGCACGGCGCACCATCACCCTGACTCAGTCACACATGGTGCACCAGGTCCTTCAGCGCTTCGGCTTCCAGTTCTCCTCGCCACAGCCCACTCCACTGTCTACCGGCCACTCGCTCTCAACTCCATCTTCGGACGAGTCCGTAGAGCCGAGTGGTCCGTACCCAGAGCTTGTGGGTTGCCTCATGTACCTGATGACTTGCACATGACCCGACCTCGCGTACCCTCTCAGCCTTCTGGCTCGCTACGTGGCTCCTGGTAGGCACCGAAAGGTGCACTGGGAAGCTGCGAAGAGGGTACTGCGTTACCTGTGCAGTACATCGGGCATGGGGCTTGTGCTTGGAGGACGGGGTCCTGTTGTCCTCACTGGTCACGCAGACGCCTCCTGGGTTGACGACTCAGCTATGCAGCGGTTGTCGCAGGGTTACACCTTCAGCCTTGGGTCTTGCTCGGTTTCTTGGCGGTCTACCCGCTCGTCTTCAGTTCTCAGCTCCAGTTGTGAGGCTGAGATCTACGCCGGAGCCATGGCTTCTCAGGAGCTACGCTGGCTCACCTACTTGCTAACCGACTTGGGAGAGCAGCCTCGTTCGCCTCCAGTCCTGCACGTAGACAACAAGGCCATGATAGCCTTGTGTCAGGAGCACAGACTGGAGCACAGAACGAAGCACATCGCTCTGCGATACTTCCTTGCTCGAGGGTTGCAGCAGCGTGGTCAGCTTCGTCTAGCGTACGTGGCCACTCGAGCCAACACTGCTGATGTCTTCACCAAGGCACTTCCGCCTGGTGACCATCAGCGCTTTGTTACTGTGTTAGGCCTTGTGCCTACTTTGCCTCACTTACTTACTGCCTGACTCTGCCTGTACTGTGATTTATCTATATACCTGCATGCTTGCACTTGTTAGGGTATGATCACTGTATTGTTTGTTCACTTTATATAACTCTGCATGTGAACTGGCCTTGTGGCCCTTTGCTTGTGCTCGGACTGTGTGGTGACTTTGTGATCCACCCTGAGCTTGCTTTGCTTTGCTTCTTCTCTTGACTGGTCTTGTGACCATTGCTTGTTCTGGCTATCCCCCACTTCGCCTATGGGGGTGTGTCAAACATATATGCTTAGTTATATCTAGGCTTAGTTTATGTGTTTACAGTTGTCTAGGCTATAGTGGGTTTATCCTTAGGGGGTACAGAATTTCTCTTGACATTCTACTTGTACCCCTCCCCCTTTCCTAGTCACTCATTCTCGTCACTTATTCTAACATGGACCACCCATGCCGCCTCCCATGTTGCGCCCAGGCCCTCCCATCCCTCCGCCCATCCCTCCGCCCATCCCTCCGCCCATCCCTCCGCCCATCCCTCCGCCCATCCCTCCGCCCATCCCTCCGCCCATCCCTCCGCCCATCCCTCCGCCCATCCCTCCGCCCATCCCTCCGCCTATCCCTCCGCCCATCCCTCCGCCCATCCCAGGTCCACCCTGGCCGGTTGCTGCCTGCGACCCTGGAGAAAACCACCCTGACCCGCCCATTCCTCCGCCGCCCATGCCTCCGCCGCCCATTCCTCCGCCGCCCATGCCTCCGCCGCCCATCCCTCCGCCGCCCATCCCTCCGCCGCCCATGCCTCCCCCAGGACCCATGGCTGATTGTGATCCGGGAGCAGAGGACCCAGGTCCGCGCATGCCTCCTCCCATTCCGCCGCCGCCGCCCATTCCGCCGCCGCCCATTCTGCCACCACCCATGCTGCCGCCGCCCATTCCGCCACCGCCCATTCCGCCTCCGCCCATGCCGCCGCCACCCATGTTCCCCCTTGGACCCATGGCTGCTTGTGATCTGGGAGCAGAGGACCCAGGTCCGCCCATGCCGCCACCCATTCCGCCGCAGCCCATTCCACCGCCACCCATTCTCTCGCCGCCCATTCCGTCGCCGCCCATTCTGCCGCCGCCCATGCCGCCGCCGCCCATTCCGGTGCCGCACATTCTGCCACCACCCATGCTGCCGCCGCCCATTCCGTCACCGCCCATTCCGCCGCCGCCCATTCCGCCTCCGCCCATGCCGCCGCCACCCATGTTCCCCCCTGGACCCATGGCTGCTTGTGATCCGGGAGCAGAGGACCCAGATCCGCCCATGCCGCCACCCATTCCGCCGCCGCCCATTCCGCCGCTGCCCATGCCGCCGCCGCTCATTCCGCCGCCGCCCATTCCACCGCCGCCCATTTCGACGCCGCCCATGCCGCCGCTGCCCATTCTGCCACCGCCCATTCCGCTGCCGCCCATTCCGCCACCGCCCATTCCGCCGCCGCCCATTCCGCCGCCAGCCATGCCGCCGCCGCCCATGCCAGTGCCGCCCATACTGGTTCCACCGATTCCGCCGCTCTGCTGCTGCTGGCCGTTCGAGCGCCCGCCTTGCGCCCATGCGCGCATCATCCCACGCAGCTTGTCCGCGCGGAGCCCCGTGGAGAAGCGGAAGGCCAACGCCGCATGGAGAGACGAGAACATGATGAGCGAGATGAGAAGAAGGGACGTGCTCAGGTCACGGCAACGACGATGGCTCATAGAAATTGACTCTCCTCGTCATTGTGCTTGTTCTGCCTACAATGGTGCTGATTTTTCCGCGTAGATTTGTTGTTTGCTGCCTCGGAGGTTGGAAGTCAAGAATCAGAAGCAGCTCAGAATTGGAGAAGTTGTTTTTGAGACAACGGGTGAAGAAGAGTGGATGACTTGCCAATGTGACCCACCCTGTCTTTTTGTAGTCTCGTCGTGCTGCGACACTAATGTTGCACACATCACAATGGCAATGCCAGTTTACGCGACGCGATGACTCAATCTTGCTTGAACTCAACATTCTGAGTCAAACAAACGAAATTCTAGTCAACGGGTTGGGAAAAAATGTTGACCAGGTTCACACGATGCTCAACCCCTGCGCCCGAACTTGCCTTGCCCAACATGGAAATTCTGCACCCGTGTTTTTTTTACCAGCCAGTTGCACCCACATTACAAGCCCCTCGAGCAAGTTGCAGTGGATATGGACCAATACGAACCACAGAAACCTAAGTCAAACAGAAGAGACATAAGTCAAACTGTCAATGGGGTGTTACAAACTTTTTATAAGCCCTTTTTTTTCTAGGTGCGACGTTGACGAAATTTGCGAGATGCCGAGAATCACTTAAAGCCCAGCCCCCGAATTACAAAGAGGCCTTCACAAACTGTCGCCAGTTTGTGTCTCGCTCCTACTGGTTTCGGGAAAGAAAGGTTTAGGGGAGGTTTTCGAACCTCAAATCTCTGCTTTCCCGAACATGTTTTCCCGCGTTGACTTCCGTTGAGTAATTCGGGTGTTACCCTTTAAAAGCCCCCTTCACAAGGCAACCTTGGGTTAGTCAAACGAGCATCGTGTGTTACCTCTGTCAACATCTCCCAGCAACGAAATCCAAAGAAACTGGTTTCCTGTTTGAATCTGACCCGATAATCGAGTGACGTGCCGCGCTGCACTTATACTGTGGTTACTCTACACCTTGAGAAAGCCTTTGCGTGAGTTTTCCTTCGCAGCCAAAATTAAGGTTCTCGGCAGTCATTCATCCACACCACAATCGCAGATAAATCAACAACTGCTAGGCAAGTGTTGGATGGAGTGACCGCCATCTATCGTAAGCTCACCAGAGGGTCCTTGCGAGAGATATCGCGATCCGCGACTGGAAGGGGAAGGCGGTGAAGGCAGCAATGGAGGAGGAGATGCGCAGCCTCCTCGCCAACGGAACATGGGAGCTGGTGGCTCGACCACGCGGCGTCAATGTCATGAAGATCCGATGGGTTCTTACGACAAAGTACAACACCGACGACACGGTCGCCCGCGAAAAGGCACGTCTCATCGTGACGGGATTTACGCAGATCTATGGTGTGGATTACAATGAGACATATTCACCGGTCGGTAGCTACGTTACGCTACGCATTTTCCTCTCCATTGTCGCAGTACTCAATCTGCACGTCATGCAGCTGGACATGAAAAATGCATACCTGCAGAGCAAGTTGGACCGATTTATGTACATGGAGCAGCCGGCGTACTTCAATGACGGTACATCTCGCGTGTGCAAGCTTCTGAAAAGCTTGTACGGACTCAAACAGAGTCCACTGCTGTGGTATTCAGCACTCGACAGTGTACTCATTGGCGGCGGATGGAGCAAGAGTCAGGTTGACGAAGTGCTCAACTTCAAGTTCGGTGCTGATGGAGTCGGTTGCTGGCTGTTGGTGTACGTTGACGACTTGCTAGCCGTGAGCAGCAACCTCGAGATGCCGAAGGACCTTCGTGAGCTTCTACAAAACGCATTCGAGCTGCGGGAAATCACTCCCGTGCAGAAGTATTTGGGGATGGAGATAGTACGGGACAAGTCTGCGCGCAAGCTGTAGCTGCACCAAAGCGCATACGTGGACAAGCTGAGTCGCCGCTTTGTGGACGAAGAGCAGACAGGTCGCTGCCCAAAACCGCCCATCTCGGTCGATGCGTACACCGAGTTGACATTTGACGACGAAGAATACCAATCGCGTGAAGAGGGGGAGTACCGCCAGAAAGTGGGTTCGCTCCAGTTTGCCACGACCACGACCCGTCCCAACATTGCGTATGCATGCAGCAAGTTGGGCTCGGGGTTGACGATTCGCAGTGACCAGCACTGGAGGGAGCTAGACCGCTGCATTGACTACATGGTGAACACCCGCGATTTTGCCCTAGAATTCGGTGGTGGACCAGATACTTTGCGCCTGGTGGGGTATGCGGATTCCAATGACGCGGGTGACCGACGGACGCGCAGCAGTACCAGCGGATACGTTTTCGTGCTTGGTGGAGCTCCAGTTTCATGGGCAAGTCACATGATTAAGTGCATGATGCTATCCTCAACGGAATCCGAATACATTGCTGCAACGGAGGCCGCCAAGGAGGCGCGACGTTTGCGCTTTCTTCTAGCTGAATTTCGGCTTCTCGATGCTGGGGTGTCAACCGTCATCCACGTGGACAACTCATCTGCGATTGCTGTTGCGGAAGGGCTGGGGCTCAAGGGGAGTCTCAAGCACATGGAGAGGCGTTACATCTGGCTGCAGCAGATGGTGAAGCGCAAGAAGCTCACACTTACGTACATTCCGACGAGCGAGCAACCCGCGGACTATCTCACAAAGGCGTTGCATTCCCTGGCATTCAAGCGTTGCTCTGTCACTGTTGGCCAAGTCAATCTTGCAGACGACGAGCGCGAAAATGAGCAGGAATAGGTGCCATGTCCTTCAATATGGCTGGTGCGGTGAGTATGCATGTGCAGAAAACACGCAAACGAGTATCTGGATCATCACCCTATTGTACTCTATTATTTCCTTTCGCTTTGTGTGGTGTGCTAAACCCTCAGTTGCCCAGGCACGAGCAGGGCAGGGGAGTGTTGAGGCTAAGCCCTGCACGCGCCTGGTTTTGCGTGTAGCAGCCCTATGCGGAGTAGCGAGACTTCGCATACCGCATACCGGTTTTACCTGTATTGCGGTATTCGCCAAGTACACTCCAATCTGTGCGCTTCGGTATGCACATTTCGACATTGGATTAGGGAAGTGACGACATTGCACAAACACGTATGTGCAACTGTCAGTGTTGCAAGAACCTGCGCAACTACTCCTGGGCAGGTAGAAATACACCTGATGGTATTTCACGTGATGGTATTTTCACCTGGCGGTGCCAACCTGGAACCGCATACTAGAGTAGGTGCTTGCACGTTCTCCATGAACAACCTTCTTCATAAACAACGTTCTCGTAAAACGGTCTTTCACACGTCACTATGTTTTCTATAAGGTTCATGTTGTATCTGTTGTAATCAATCAATTAATGAATCACTTTCCTTTCGTTACTGGATACCAAGCCTGTTGCTGCATTCTAAGCATACTGTTATCCAAATACTGTTATAGTCACAATAGACTTGAATGTGCCTAAAACGAAAGATAGAGAGCACAGACGGATTTCTGCACAGCGGCTTCAAACGTTGATAGCGTTCTGCTCACAGCTGCAAATGACTTGATTCAAATTGGATCTGGAGCGTCTTCACGTCGTCTACAATTAGCAATTTAGATTGCACGATTTGATAAAGAATTGACGACACAGCGTTGGTTTGAACGAACGGTACTATGGCAGCCACTATAGTCTTAGAACACAAGATAGGAAGAGTTACGAGTTGGGAATGACTCCCAGCTCCTACAAACCCCAAGAGCCGAGGTACAGTGATGTGGAACAGTGCCACACTGTCCCCAACCACGAAGGGTCTCGAAACTACCCTTCACTAGGGCCTACACCAAGTGAAATGTTACACTACACAAAGTAATGTAAATATCTTCAATATCTTGAGGTGTACCCTTTTTGGCGAGCTTCGAAATCACTTGAGGCTTGACACCAAGGCTCGGGCTCTTCATCACAAACTCATCCTTGAGTTCTTGATGGGTCTGCTGCACACACCTGCGACACGCCGAACGTTCGACACAGGACAAAATAGAAACCGCGCACGACAAGATAGAAACCGCGCGCGAGACACAAACGACCGCGTAACACGCGTCTAGCGATAACTCGCTATTGACTCGACACACACACTCGACATCATGACTCAACATTCACACACAATTATAAGCATGAAATATATATTATCCCATGCCCTCATACCATTCCATACACACACACATTCACGCACACGGACAACAAGCCGAGTGCAAACCGTAGGGTTGCACCAACAAACTCCCCCTCGGATTGTTGGCCTTAGGATATGTTGCTCTCTCAGTTCAGAGCCATCCCAGCCAGCTTGCAACACTTCCAATGCTGCTGCTCCACCAGCCTCTCGGTCATCATGTCAGCCGGCTGCCCCGTGGTCTTCACGTAGCGCAACTCAACTTCACCCGCGGTTACCATGCTCCTCGTCCAATGCCACTTCACCCTCATGTGCTTCGTGAGTCCATGCAACACAGGGTTCTTAGCAAGAGCAATGTCACCCTGGCTGTCACAGTACAGTGGGGTAGGTCCTTGCTGCTCCTCCCCCAATTCAGCCAACAAACGCCGCTGCCACACAATCTCCCGTACGGCACGGAAGAGTGCCATGTACTCGGACTCCACCGAGCTCAAAGCTTGGTCAACCTGCTTCTTGCTCTCCCAAGCAGTTGGGCCTCCACCAACACAGCATATGAAGCCTCCCACACTTGTCATGTCCTCTGGTTCTGATGCATATGAAGCATCCGAGTAGGCGGTGAGGAACAAACGCCCGGGTTCAACACCATCCGCGCCCTTTTGGCGCCTTTGTGCCGCCGGCGAGTATTGCAGCCCAACGGTCGGTGTTTGGCCAAGATACTTGGCCACCCTCATTCCAGCTGCTACCTGCTCCTCATTAGGGCATTGCACAACCCTCGCCAGCTGCCCGGTAGCAAACGCGACGTCCGGTCGGGTGTTTACCGCCGCATACATGAGGCTGCCCACCAACGAGTGAAATCGGCGCCTCTCCTCTTCACCAACGCTCTCCTCCTCTGGTCCCTTCACACACTTGAACCCAGAGGGAAAGGGTGTA